GGCGTTGCTGATAGAAAGTGGAACGTTTTGAGTTCGATATGCATATACAAATACTATTCTAGGTCCAAAGAAAGATAAAATAGGTCAAGAGACGTTTTCTAAACAATTTACTTTCATCATTTTTAACTTTTTATTTTTGTTAGATAGCAAATTTTGTATTATTTTGTAAAACTCTCTCAAAATAAAGGTAGGGAGAAAATCGAGATGAAAACAGAGAATTCGTTCCTTTTCGCTTTCTATAATTCTAAGGGCACAACAGAAGACGAATATGACGATGTTATTTCACTTGAGTCTGACGACGAAACGTTCTATGAGGGGCTTGGGTACGATCGAAGTACAACCCAAGAACAGAGAGTAAGATTTGACAAAAATGGGAAAATTGAGAAGGTATAACATCCCACTCTATATATCTATTCGTCTTTAATCTTTAAGCAGTTCTTTCTTTAGGATATTCTCTGGGAAGCATGAAAGTGCTCATGAAATCTGAAAGTGGCTGTTTTAGAGGCAAAATAATGCTGTACGAATTAGATTCAAGAAAAGGTGAAAAAAAGATAAAGGAATTTTCAAGTGTTAGTACACTGACAATGAATCTTCAACTTTCCCCGTCATTTTAAAAGTTAACTTTGCCTTCCAACCGATAATGTCTTAACTTTGGCAAACTTAGATTCTCCGACTTTAACGTCCACTAAATTCAATGCGTACTAATTTTATCGTGCATGCTCTTTATATCTACGGTGTATGTATCTGCTGGGCGTCCGCTCAAGCCTGGATGCGTAGAAGACTAAGAATTATTTGATTTGATCAAACAGGAAGCGCAACGTCCAAATGAGAGCAAAGATCTTCACATCGACACTAGTTTGGACTTCTTGGATTGCAAGACAAGCGTAAGCGAAAAGGTGAGCGTAAATGAGAGAGAAGTTATCGCAAATAGAAGTTATTATAACCAGGAACGGAAGACCCACTATTTATCGCACCCGCAATTCGTAACAGCGTAAAACTAAATTTCTGAAGTCAAAGCTCGAGTTAAAAACCCTTCGATAAAAACTTAATTTATCGTCCCTGCTGATTGCTCTAACGAACGGTACCGAGTTCGAAAGGCGCTTGTTCAAAATTGGTGCTCAGACTCTTTTCCCGTGTTGTTATCCTCCATTTTGAATGCAGAGTACCGTTGTTCTTTCGGTCCCAGAACCCGGTTCCCTGTAGATTATTCCTGGTTTTGATAATATCCTATCGGCAACGTTGATACTTCATCGTATTTTCATAGAAGGATAATTAATTGTTTTTATTAACCTTTTTTTTCAGGAATAGTCCACGAGAAAATTGTATTTTCGGACCACGGCGTCAGAAAATGGACCATATACATTTATAACTTTACTCGTTGTAAACAAAATAAACTGTAAAAATCTTTGTTGATTTGTTTGGAACCAGCTTCTTTTTTCATTACAACTCTAGTCTAATGACGCTATAGGTTGCATTACAAGCACATAAGCTATGCGGCTACATCATGCGTTTCTGTTTGTATGTACTAATTAATAGGAAAGCAACTACCCTCACTCGGAATTTCTGAAAAAATGGTTTTATTACCTCTATTTCCTAGGATCAGTATGCAGTAATACGTCGCATTTCTTGAAACAGTTTAAAAAAATCATAACTGATACATGGTTAATAAATTCACTAATTTCAGCTGATAGCTGGCTGCCACATCTCAAGCCCAATTGTAGGGCTGATTCGTTCCCAGACTTGCCCCATGACATCGGAGACCGCGTCATAGACTGGGTACAAGTCAGCAGTCGGGTGACATTTGGTATTATAAGAATACCTAACACTAATTGATGTGATTAATAAATACGTTTCTATTTACAGTTCGAGTTATTTAAAATATTTGAGTAAATATCCTTCAGTTATTGAAGCCACAAATACCTTTTTTTCTAACTTAGAGAGTGAATCGGACTCTAGGTTTACAACATTGCAACAATTGAGGACAATTTTCGAGCCTTCTAAATGCATTCATCTTGTTCGCTACAAAGTTTAAGTTATATTGCTAACGTAACGGTTTCTTGTCGGAAAATACTAACTGTGGGCACTCGCAGTGATTTTCTGCCAATCTCAGGAGAGAAATGAGGCGGCCAAGCACTGAGAAATCCATAAAACTTCCCAATGTGACTTTTCCCGCATAAAAATATGTAATCTAGCGTAAATGGTTCCCTTCTTTTTAAAATCTTCATCTTTTGCATATTTCCCTTTCATATCTCTAACAATGATGCATATTCCTGTTGTTTACATTTTCAATTAAAAACCTTTTGACCTGCTTCAGAACGCTTCTAATGCTTGAGAAAAAGGAAACCGAGCGCTGATTATCTTGTTAAACTCAATTGAACTGTACGCTTAAGGTTTGTTTAGGAACTGGCTCATTGAAATATGCAAACATTTTCAAGAATGAAGCATAAATCTCGTTACGTTTGAATAATGACTGATTGAATATGATTGAATAATAATGTTTAATTTTTAAGTGACTTGGGGTCCATTTCTCGAAAGTCCCGGTAACTTAACGGCCCGTAAAGCTGTTCTGTTTTCATTCAAGATGGGGATTTCAAAAGTTTTGAAAATGATGTAATAAAACTATCAGCTAAAGAAACAAAAAGGACTGGTTTGGGTGCCAGAACCTGCTTGCTATCCTTTAAATTTTGATTTTAAAACATAGTTACGGGCCCGTAAAGTTACCGGGACTTTCGAGAAACGGGCCCTTGCTTACCTCTAGGTGTTATTAAAGGTATGATTAAGCATATTCTAAGTCTCTACGGTGCTATCTACAGTTACATGTCAGTTCAGAATACAGCGCAATGTCGATATCACGAAGATCCTTAACTTTTGGCAATTTCCCTCAATTGTGTAAACATAGAATTGGGGCAATGAAGAATTTCTACGATTTTTTATGCCTCCAAAAGCAAAATCATCAATTTACTCCAGCATAAAGATTCTGAGAGGAAGGCAGTATCTACTTCCTCATTGCAGACAAAAAATTAAATGAGATATTGTTCTAAATTGTGCATGCTGCATAAAACCAAAAATAAGAGTCAATTTCATCGATTTTAAATTGATTGTCTGGCAAGGAATATCTTGTCATAAACAAACAGTTACCTATGTTTAGAAGATATCACCGTCATTTCATCTGATTAAAATTATACCGAGCACAACTTACTACGAACAAAACTTTGTTTGGAACAAGTGAGATTGTAATAATACCGATATAGCACTATGATTTCGTAACGATCGTTCGTATCATCAGAGTGTTTCCAACTTAGTCTCAAATTCGCGTAAATTTGTTAAGTATCCAAACATGTGTTCACGTTACACACGACTGCCACATGCCCTACTTCAGCGACCATCATGGCAAATCTGTGCGTCGTCGCTCAGTCTGATTGACGTATGTCCCTCCCCATCAGCGGACATTGTGGTGGTTTCAACTGGTATTTGTGAGATTACATGTCTTTGGCGATGAAGGGAGATTTTTTCCACTTGATGCCCGTATTCCTAAACAAAACTTCCACCATGCTAGTTCCTTGGGTCGGTAAAGTGGTTCTGTCCTTGAGTTGATAGAGAGCTGTGTCTGTATTTTCGTACCAAAAGCGGTCTCCGTCACGTAAAACCCGGTACTGAAGAGCTATGATTCGAGCGAAAGTTTCCCCGACACATCCGCCATCGACATGAGGCTCTGCCAGTCCACCGATCCACAGGTCAACATCATCTATGTCTGGGTAAATTTGCGCAAGCCTTTCTTGAAGATGCTTTTCAGGAGATATTTCAGAGAAGGTTTTACGTCTTGACAAGCCAAGTCCTTCCCGCACGGTGTTGTAATCTGGAATACCGTGGTCCCTACCTCTCTGTATGTTGATAGCCACGAGGTCAAGACCCATTGTGTTGGTTCCAAACAAGAAGTTTCGCACAGAGTCTGAAAACTTTAAGTCAACTTCCTGAGCTTTCTGTGTCAACATGCCTCTTATCAGCGGTTCAATTCCACCTTCACGGAGCACTCGCCCTGGATTGAAGTACGCGTCACGTAGAGTTAGGTGACCATGTCCTATCATGGCCCAGTCTTCGTCCAATCGCGGCATGATATTTCCAACTTGACTGTGGCCGAATCTGAAAGCCGCCGTGGCGAACTCGTTGAAGATGCCAACCTTAATGGAGGCGTTGTATCCTTGGTAGGCGCCCAGTTTTTCATACTCGGCCAGGCCGATGACGGTTGGCAAAAACTCAGTCCAGACTATCTTTTGCCACTTGGCTCGAGCTAAGGCTCTTGCGTGCTGGAACAAAGTCTCGTCGTCCATATTTTCGTTCCCGGGATGCTTCATTAGCTCATCGCAGATAAGATTGTGCTCACGTGACCAAAGCGTGTGAAGCGCGATGAGGCCAGGTTGCACATTTACTCGGTTGTCTCCAGACACGAGCATTTTTTCACGTGGTCCATTCAGGAGGTTTAAGTTGGTGACTTCTTTGGTTTTAAAGTTTAGAATATCACTAGATTGGTGTTTCAATTTACCGTTTTTCATTGTTCGTAGAACTTCTGCTCGCCCTTCATCGCAACCATAAACTAGAGACAGGTCAATGAATGCTGTAACCTTGTTGATCTGATGATAAATAAGACATTGATTTACAGTTAGTCATTAGAAAAGCACGTGTCTTTAAAAGGCTTGGCTTCCAAATGGTAGGATGATCCTTTTACACAAACTCGATACTCAATTCTACGAAGACTACCGCTGTCGGATGTCTGAATGGAAGATCCAATGATTTGCAGCATTCCATTTGAGACGGGCTGTAAATTTTGGGCCACTAGTTTAGGTGTTGAACTTTTGTGTTCTCAGCGGAATTAGTCAGGTTTTTAATCCTTTAGCCAAAATTTAATCGTGAAATGTCTAGCCATAAAATTCCTAACCTGATGGTGGGTAACCTTGATTTTGGAACGGTTCGGATGATGATGACCCATCATGTGCAAATCAAGCTCAAAAGAGGAACAACTAGTCAAATGTTGTGATTTCAAGAACAATTTCTGGCTTTAACTGCGCATTATATCAAAGTGGGGGGGAGAAGGAAAGGAGAAGGGATGTTGAATCCCAAAACCAAACAATTTACCTGTTCACGCGGTCTACCATGCATTTTCCCGCTAGTCTGAAGGATGCCGGATCTTCTAAATCGCATTATTTCTTTGCCTGTACCATGCGGGTCGAACCAAGGGTCACCTTCTGGAATTTGAATGCCCAGGTTATCAGTGGTCAGAAAATTGGCGTAAGGTGTTGCAAAATCAGTGTCATGGGCTAACATCTGACCAAAGTGCATATGGAAGTCATTCAGACCGATTTTGCTGAATACATCAGTGCGCTGATCGCAGACAACATTAGATATAAGTCGTGGGCTTGATCTGTTTGAGCCCGCAGGTGCGTCGAACCCGTCAGCATAGGCTGGGGGAAACAAGCGCTGTAGCGGCATAAGTGGCTTACCGCAGTCGGGATCGATTGGGTTGTTGTTGACTGCGTCCAAGCGGGCAAACTTTTCTAACAATTGCTCAGGAGATGGAGCAGGGGTCTCCACTTTATTGACCTACGGAAAAATACAACATCATGTCGTTATGTCTTTGAATTTATCCAACATCATTGTGGCTCATTATGCAACATAACGATATAAAGTAGCCTAAGATTACTTTGCAACGGATTTTTTTAAAATCTAATTTCTTTATATATGATACCAAATATTTCAATCTTATAATATTAATTATGCAAAAAAGATTCAGAAAATAACACCACAAAGCATAATCATGATTTAGCCATCTACCGACCTTGACGTTCACTGTGGCGATAGCTGTGCCAACTCCGTCACTAACAGCATAGTTGAAGCTATCTTCGCCAGAGAAATCTGCGTCTGGATAGTATGTCACGTGCTTGGATCCTACAATCACCTGACCATGCTCTGGTTTCCGGGTCACTTCTTTCACTAATAAATTGGTGCAACCTGGAACCGACTCACTGGGGGACGTTGTCTCCTCAACTGTATTGCGATGACCCCAGATATCTCGCACAACAAGGGAAGATCTCCTGGGCACGTTGTGAATAATCCGAGTATTGTTAGTGGCTGGCCAATAAATGCGGATTCGGAAAGTGTCAGCGGTTTCTGAACCCAGCCCATAGTGAACAACGTATTCTCCTTGGGCTGCGAACCCGGATGAGCTTCGCACTTCGCGAAGAACTTCCTTTTCTAGTCGAGGTGAGTACAGGTAGACGCATGCGCCATAACTTTCCCTGTCGACGCTGGCCTCCATAACTTTGACGCGAATGTAATCAACTCTGTTGCCGCCAATATTTCGATAAAGAACAGGACGGTTTGCGTTGTTGGCGATGAAAACGTCTAAGTCACCATCTTCTTCGTAGTCGAAGATAAAAACACCTCGCCCGTCGAAAACATCATTGACGCCCAGTTTTTGGCCAACTTCCTCAAATCTAATTTGGCCGTTATTGTCCTCAAAATACATATTTTGGTATAGACGGGTTGGAGTGTGATGAAGAAAATCTGTGTCCGTCACCTCTGGATCATCGAAGCCATTCGTGTGGATAAGATCTAGGTCGCCATCGTTGTCGAAGTCAAAGAAGGATGCACCCCATCCCCAGTTCCCATAGCGAACACCGACCGAGTCAGTCTGGTCCGAGAATTTACGACCTCCTTCATTCCTGTGTACGAAGAATACCGGATTAATATACAAGTTAGGAAAGAATGGATGTTATTATTTATGACGTTGCATGAGCAGCTTACTACCCTTTGTACGAACTTCAACAAAATATTATTTTTGCAGCAACTTTCAGACGAGCCTCGACACCAATCTGAGCTTTCGTTGGATTTGCTTTAGTACACCAAGTGATCAGTGTAGAAAACTTGTGCCGCTTTCTCAGATGTAAGACTGGCGGTAATCGTACTTCAAGCAGTTTTTTTTCCGTATTTTCTGGTGAACAACCAAACAAGTCCATTAGAGAGCGAGAGAAAACACCAGGTATCAAAAACTAAGTGAAAGAAACATGAATGACAATATGAGTTCGTTTCAAATCATGTGAATCAGAGACATCTTCAATGATTGGTAAATCAAGTGAGCAAAGTAGATTGTCACTTTGAATATCTTCTCTCAGAAGTGCCATACATGTTATGCATAAGGTCTTAAATTCCAGGGTACAAACCTGAAAAGCCTGTTTCCAGTGTGTCCAAAGATGATTCCTCCACCGAGATAGACTTCTCTAAATGGCTCCATTTGTTCAGCCGACATGTGGATGCTGCTTATGAACCAATCCTGCCGGCCGTCAAGATCATAGTCGGCTACAGTGGAACCCATACCATTCTCGTCCGTTCCAACACCACTCGAGTCAGTCGCCTCTGTGAAAGTTCCGTCCCCGTTATTCCAGTGAATGGCGCTTGTTTTGAAGTCCCCATTTACTATCAGGTCTTGATAACCTAGGAATTCAAGCACTACGATCACCTACAAAATTCATTGATGTATTTGCGCGGTTTTCGTTTGAGTTTATATTAAGCACTTTATCATTTTCTTTCACGGTTTTGGTTCTACGACCTATAATTTTCAGAAGTCGCTTTATAGCTAACCTCAGGTCGCATTGAAGGAAAATTGCTACTGAAAATAGCGACATGTAATTTTCAGCTGGGTACCGTTTTTGTATCACACTTTGACTACGGATAAGATCCACTTCGAAGACGACGCAATTGCAATTCAGTATCAAGTATAATCCCGCGTTGTGTTTCACTTTCTTACGTTCTATGATTCATCCTAGTAAAACCCCGCGCTACCTCTCGTCATGATTGGATGCTGTGATTACTTTGGAATGGTTTTACGACACTCTCATGAAAGGCGCTATAACCGCGTTGAAAGACTGGTTTGCTTATCGTAGTTCATGCAAACTCTTTAAAGCAGCTAGAAATCCGCAACGAAAAAGTTGACTCCTAAATATTATTAATTAAGGGGGAGCAGGGTTGGCGTAGTGGTGAGAGCGCTCGCCTTTCACCAATGTGTCCCAAGTTCGATTCCAGTACCCGGCGTCGTAAGTGAATTGAGTTTGTTGGTTCTCTACTCTGCTTCGAGAGGTTTTCCTCCGAGTACTCCGGTTTTCCACTCTCCTCAAAAACTATCATCATTTGAATTTATTTAATTTAGAGTTTATTGGCATTTACACACGACCCCACAAGCTGTTCAGCTTTAAACATTATCGTGTCTAAATAAAGGTGTTATTATCATTATTATTACTAGTATTATTATTATTATTATTATTATTAATGTTTGAGCCATATCTAAACTATTGTTTTTTCATAGTAATTAAAGAATCGTTCGTATACCAAGAACAAAGATTTTTGGTTGACCCCAAGAATCGTTACTTGTTAAAACCACGATATATTTAATTTTCTTTTTCCTTACCATCACCGTCCAAATCAGTGAACATGGCTGCTAGTGTGAATGGTCCTGGGATGATGTCTCTAAGAAGCCCTGTGTTCATTACTCCATAATACCTCACATCCACTCCACCGAATCTATCTGCAGCTACGCTTGGTTCCTTGGTATTACCCAGTCCCGCACCTTCGGTTACATCTTCAAAGTATCCCGGTTTGCCTTGCGCGCCAAGGTTTCTAAGCAAGCGGCAGTTAGAATGAGTGTAGTTTTTGTAGTCGAAGCCGAGATCAAGATGAGGAAGCCACTCCGTTGTGTAAACATCCAGCCAGCCGTCTTTGTCGTAGTCTCCAACTGCAATTGTCATGGTGCTTGTTTTGTAGGGTGCTATTGTAGGCCTCAAAGCAGCGCCCCTCTCCTCTGCCTCATCTTTAAAATGGCCCATCCCATCATTAATGTACAAAACAAATTTGCTCTCTGCCATGGTGCCTATGTAGAGGTCCATGTCACCGTCGTTGTCAACATCCAACCAAGCAACTGCCGACGAACGATGAAAAGCCGTGGAGCTCAGGTTGGCAGCAGCGGTGAAGTCTTTGAAAGTTCCGTTGCCAAGGTTACGCCACAATTGATCAGGACCATCCATACGAGCATAGTAAATATCCATGAGCCCGTCACCATCGTAGTCAGCGGTTGCTGCCGCTCCGGAACTGATTTCCACGATGCAAAAGGAGCCCGGAATCCAAATTTTCATGTTTGGATCATACTGGTCAAACAGGCAGTCGGGAGCTTTGGGTGGCTGTTGTTGAATGGCTGTCATACCTAGACTCACTGCTATGTCTTCAAACTTTATCTGCTGGATAGACAAAAGTTTAAAATTGTATTCAAAAATATAACTTTTGGATCGCAATTCTGGCCATGAAACAAGAATATGATAAATAATTGAAATACTAGATAGCCCAGGGTGGCTTTTCTGACTGTAAATCGCTTGAATTTTGTTTGTGTGAGAGAGATACTCGAAACCCTTTTCGCTGTCAACCTGCATCTTACAGTGGTATTTTTGACTCTCTAGTTAACAAACGGTTGATATATCGCACGAAAAGGTTAGTTCTTTTATGTCGATTCATATGCAGTCATATTTCATGAGGTTCATAGTTAGCTATTCATCAAAGACAATGTCAGGGAAAGAGTGAATTCTATAGATCACCGTTCACCTAAATATGCTTACTTATAGGGGTATGTATGCAAACAGAGATCACTTACTTCATAGGGCTCTTTTTATATATTAAGAACAGTTTAGTTTTAATCGGCCGTGTTCATTTGTAAAAGAGTTTGAGGTTGAGCTCCACATTATGCGGAGTAAGAACATTAAAAGAATCCTCGAACGTTAAATAACGTGAAATGAGGACTAGTTACGCCCAAACTAGACAAACTGAACTCAGAATGGCCGAACTGATTCGAAGTAGTTAGATGGTTCAAGCCTTTTGTGATCGATTATACGCTGGTTGTGCGCTTAAAAATCAAGTTTGAAGAAGAGATTTTTTTTACAAAGGCAACTGCAAATGGTTATGTTTGACTAAGTACCTGTTTGCTGTCCGAGAAATGGTTCTCTTCCTCCGTTGTTATACAGACACCGGAACCATCCTTGCTGTAATCGTTCTTCAGAACCGGGATGTGCACGTGACCGTCATCGGCAGTCATAGTCACCTCATCAGACCGCGCCACGATTGTACCCGGCTTTGGTCGAACAATGATTCGAGCCTGAAGATCCCCATCGGAAGTCGTCGTAAGGTTTTCGTATAGATACGAATAAACGAAGACATCTTCGCCTGAGAAGTCTTCCCGCGGTATGTATGTTGTCTGAGCGTCGCAAACTTCATTTTGTACGTTAAGATTTCCGTCTGGTGAGCTAGCAAACGCTCCGTATTTTGGCTGTTGGACGATGACAACCTTCGGAGCAAGTTTCTCAGATGCTTTATTGTATTTCAAAAAGTCGAATGTGACTGGTTCATCCTCGTCTGTGATGACTGTAAAAGAGTCTTGTAAACCTAATAGAAAATAATCTTTTTCAATATGTTTTTCCATACAGTGTTAAACTCTGCAAGATATATACAAAATTTAGAGTTCACACATTTCTTCGCCTCTATGACTCCTGCATGTGACTCAGATCTTTGGAGCTAAAAAGAGTTGTAAGCTACAACTGCGAACAGGTGATGTTGAATGATAAGTAATACAATTCCTACTATGGATATATGAAGTTCATATATTTAGAACTGCGGTATTAAATACGTATGATGCACGATCCTTCGCAGTAGATAGCGCTATTTATGCAATAGCGAAAATCAGACCTGAAAAAAATCAGCTCCCAGTTGGCTTGTTAGCTCAATTGGTAGAGCGCTGCACTAGTATCGCAGAGGTCAGTGGTTCGAATCCCGTACAGGCCTGATTTTTTTCAGGTCTGATTTTCGCTATTGCATAAATAGCGCTGTCTACTGCGAAGGATCGTGCATCATACGTATTTAATACCGCAGTTCAAAATATATGAACTTCATATATCCATTGTATCTGATTTATCATCACGGGTTTATTACGAATCAACTTAACGGCCTGCTCCCAGTTGGCTTGTTAGCTCAATTGGTAGAGCGCTGCACTAGTATCGCAGAGGTCAGTGGTTCGAATCCCGTACGGGCCTGATATTTTTTCAGGTCTGATTTTCGCTATTGCATAAATAGCGCTATCTACTGCGAAGGATCGTGCATCATAAGTACAATTCCTATTGTTTCCCAACTACCTAACAAATGTCGACAAGCCCATGTCCTTGTCAAATTAAGGGAAATGCTTCATGAGAATGAAAAATTCTGTCCGATGAAATGCGGATCGATGTTAACAACGCACATGGGTAGAGAGGGACGCTAAAAAGTGGGAAAACGTAGTATTCTATCGCTTTGTGTTGTGGCTGTAAGTTAAGCTGTGAACTCAATTGAGTTTTGGTTTACCTTTTACACGGTGACACTAAGCTTTTAGCCGATTACGTTAAACTTTGAATACCATGCAACTTTGCTCATTAGAATAGTTCTCGATCAAAAAGAAAGTATGAAGATCATAGTTACGCTTTTTTTTCGAAAAATGAAAGCGGAATAAAGTGAAATAACAAACTAGATCATCAATGAAGGTATATCTTTGAGGTTGCGACTTAGTTCTGACGTTTTAAGTAATTCTGAAATTTCTCAGGGAGATTGCATTGTATTAAGAAGTTCAAGCGATAAAATAAAAACGAGAAACTGCTCCTCTACAAGAACTATGTAAGAGAAAGCAAGGTGCAAGAAAAGTTAATGGTAAACTACACAAAATAGTCGACATGCAATTTTTCTTATAGTCTGTAGTGCCTGCAACGTTGCAAGTATAGATGCTATATGGACCGGTTATTTACTCGAGGTTTAACCTAAACTACGGTTTTACGCAATCAGTGGGCCTCAGGCTTTTTATATAAAAGGGTCGATTTGATTCAGTAAATATCTCTCCACTGTTAGCTTTTGACCCTCTTGACACTGTTCACAAAAATAAATGTTCAGAGAAAAGGTTCAGCTAAATTCAGGGTCGTTTGAGACGCGGTTTTATTGAACAACGGCTAACTTTGTTTAGGTAATCAGACCTACAAGTTAAAATCAGTGTGAAAGGTTTTCGATTAATACAATTTCTTCTATCTCTGTATTTCATCACTGGACCCGTTTATAGTTTCACTTTGTGTTTAGTTGGTGGAATAATGGTGTCGTTGAGAAATATGAAAGATGTGAAAATATGATATGAACTCTTCTAAGTAAGTCCTCTAGTCAAGGCGAACGAGCCAAAGCAGCAAATATGGCGAACTCCTTTTGTAAAGTGAAGGCTTGATCCTTACAAAACAAGGAATGTCGCTATGATTACTTTACTGTTCACAATGTTTGCTAGTAAATTGCAGTGTCATATCAAATTGATGAATCAATTTTCGACCTGATTTAGCAGAATTAAATTAGGTAGATAATTAAACCACTCTCAAAAAGCTAACCGTACAATTATTTTACGATTTAGTGGGGGGCCAATTACTGAAATTTTTCAACTCAGCGCCTCCTCTTTCATTAGCAAGAGAGGTTTAACCTCAAAATAAAATTAATAAGGTACAGGTATTCAAATCGTCAACATGCGTTTCCTTCCATGTAACGAAGAGCGTTGTTACTAGTTGTTCTCAATTGTATTTCACTACTTTAATTCTTCTCAGTAGGAAAGCGATTACACTTTACTTAGACGGAAATTGGAAGTAGAAGGGATTACGACAAACAGTGGTAACGGTCGATGAAGGCGGAAATTTGTTTCCTGTTTAGCTCAAAGAGCTCAGCGTGAAGATTTTAACTAGTCAATCTACCTGGGGTTAAGGAAATGATTCTTAGAGCTTATGAAAAAACCGCCTTTTTGATAGATGACGGTAGCGGTGATAAACACCTTTGTTATGTTACATGGAATGCAGTAGATTTCCGCACCATTTTCATCGCACTGTTTGGTTCGGTTTCTCAAGCACTGAACATTAAAGTTATATTGTCGTAATATTTAGCTTAACAAGGCAAAATGAATGGAATATTTGTCAATAAGCGTTTTATGAAAACGAAACGAAAATCAGTGCAGATGAAAGCAAACTCAGAAAACTGCGTCGTCACGCCAGAAGGCCCTGTGCAGATAGCTGATCTAGGTCGAGGAGGCGACGAAAGCCGCTTTATAGGAACATCCTACTCTGAACCATGATTCAAGTTAATTAGAGATGTGAAATGCAAACACAACGGACCAGTTAACGTTTCACTTTGGTACAACAGTAACCAATTTCCTAACTGATTTACTATGTTCACTGCTTTTTTCCGTTCTCTCTCTCTGCAAACGTCGACATAGCGTTCTGGAATTAGGAGAACTGGAGAAATGATGACTTTATCGGAGACGAAAGGGTGGTATTGTCCTTCAGTAAGAAGTCTTGTTCTTTTAGGAATGTGATGTGGTGACGTTTATTCATCTCGTAAAAGAATATAAACGCGAAAACGAGGCTATTTTCTCTATGTTTGGTTGTTGAAAAAAACAGCCATTTCATACTTCTGTTCGAGAGATGCGTTCTGTGTTCTTGTTCTAGTAAAGCTAACTAACCAACAAATTTGCATTTACATGTACTCGGTAAACAACATAATGATTTTTGAGGACCTTGAGATCAGCGACATTGACGGTCTCATTCTGGGCCATCATAATAGGCATCTTGCTAAGCTAATGATTGCAATTCTTCTTAAAAGGGCATTTGACAAACTTATTCCAGATAAAGTATGCAATGGAGTGATTTCCTTTAAGGTGTGCCCATCTTCAGAAAGCTAATTGAGAACCTTTCCTCTGTTTTATCTTTGTACAAAATTCAAATGAATATTGCTCGGTGTAGTGATGTTGTATATATCCTTTGAAAGGCCACTATTGACACGATATTCCCATACTTCAGAGCTATATATAAATATATACGTATCTTATCGTTTCAGAACTAGGATAGCTTTCGCTACTTTGGGCGTGACAACGCAATATTTACTGAGGACTCCTAAGTCCAATGTTCCATTTAAAGCCGGTTTCGATGTACTCATTGCTTATAGTTGAAGCTAAAAACTTCAACCAACTGAACAGAGAGCAGAGTTGCTTAAGGAGCTGATCTCGCTCGGTGATTGAAGGCCGGGCTTGATTACGGCAGACATAAAGTCTCTTCGTCCACTTGGCAAACCCTTACGCGAAGAGCAGATATTTTGAAAACTGAAAGACGTACATTTTTCCTGTTTACCTAGTAACCTTTCGTGGTTACTATACGATGCTAGACATATTCAACAGCTACTGAGCAATCATAAAAGCTGCGCATGTGTAAGGTTACTTGTAAACAACTAATTCCATGGAGGAGAGAAGACAAATGCCGAGAAGTTGTTTTGAACAAACATTTCTTCAAAAGAAATTAAGAGCGATGAAAAGAAGACTGTATGATCCTGTTTCGAGAATACAAAAGAAGTTTCTAAATCTTAAGATGCTTTCTTTCAAATGGCAGCGACCGTAAAAGCGAGAACTCCTTTTGATACAAGTGTCTCTAACAGCTAAGTACGTCTCATCCTAACGCAATTTAGTTTACTTAAATGAAATCATTTAGACAAACAAAGTTTTGCGTGACGAAAATCATTTTAAAAAAACTGGACGCTAAAAGAGAAGTCACTCAACAATATTACAAGTGCATTTTAAAAATTAAAACCCAAAATCTACAGTTAAATTGTTCAATTTTCTGCCGGCTACCTTCAATTCTCCAACTTTTCAATGCAATATAACTTTATTCAGGTCTACTCAAATGTGTCACCAATTGAAAGTAATGACACAGTTATTTTCAGAGCGACGAAAACAAAATAATGAATATTAAACATCTTTGATAGACTGCCTCACCGCCGAGCGAAATACAAGCTAATTTTTGGCTTAAACAAATAATTTGAAACAAGTTTGAAAGGTAGTCAAGAGCCCCCCTTGAAAAGCTAAAATGTCGGCCTAATTAGTTTTGAAACAAAGAAAACAAATTAAGTTTAAGCGCAAAAGGATCCGGCTGTGGTTTTTGTCTCAAAAAAAAATAACCGCGATGTGTTGTATTTAAATTGAACGTGCACTCAACTGGCTCTTGTGTTATCACCTACCCTTGAAATGATTTTACAAATTGGTAACAATTGTTCTCTAAGCAAACATTCCAGCCTCTCTGAGCTTTAGTTTGTTACTGTTGTGCAACAGAAATAGTTACACAAGTTTTGCAATAACCTTATCAATTAACGAAATTTTTAGTCTTCTTAAGATCGTGGTTAATATCAAGTTAAGAACGTGAAATACCAATACTGCTTGGAATTTTCAGGCACCATCTCGTTGCTTTTGTCAAATTGTCCGACAAATATCGCAAAAAAATTCGAATTCCTTTGATGGCAATAGATAAATTTAGTTCACATCCTAAGTTATCGAACAATATCGTATTTTTCTTGAAAGCGATTTCCTACGTAACGTTTGTGGTGAACCGACTAACCACATGATCTTTAAGTATCTTTTTCATACATTAGGTTAGATGTTTTGCATAGTTTCTCGCTACCAGCTCTTTCAGTAATGCCGTAAATGGAAGTACGAAATGTTGGTTTGACTCAGAAATCGATTCAAACAAAACTTACTTTTTGTATCCATAAAGCACAAATGTGATAGCAAACGAGTTACCATTGTTTTGAGTCCGAAATATCACTCCTTATCGGCAGCTTAATATTTTAAGTAATGCTTCCCGGCTAAACCTTCGCGGTGATGTAGGGCATTATAAACCTACTTTGCCAACGGAATGCATCGGCAAACTTTTTTTTAAATTTCTGTGGTTTTAGAGAAATCATCGACCGCTGCTAAATTCAAGAACCATTCACCGAAACTTCGACTCCACAAGATTCGCCAAACTCAAGAAACATGTCCATCTCAACTAGTAGTTGAAAGTCAATTAGAGACAAGTTTTATGTTGTTAAAAGTGCTCCTTCTCGGAGGGTTTTCGAGTGATCCTTTCTCCTTCTTTATTTAGAGGTTTCCAAAGATTTCCTCGACGGAAAGAGGTTAATGATCTGGCAGAGATTACGTAGGAAGAATTAAAAGGATAAATTACCAATAGCATCCCGCGTTGCTGACAAATGATGCGAGTCGTCGAGGAATAATGCCCGAGCATTATCTCAGATTTTTCACTCTCTGAGAAAGTTTAGGAGAATTTTTTGAAGCACATTGCTTAAGAAATTGAGGAAAAATCCACTCACCATTAGTCAGCGCTCCCGTTAGGAGGGCACAAAAGAGAAAAAGTCTCATCTTTCAGCAGTGGACTATCGAATTCTTGTGAGGCGCGTGATGTTTTCTCGAGACTGGACTAGTTGTGATCTGCATATGACAGTCCTACTGCCAGCTGTAATCAGCTTATCTCTATAAGTCCGCTCTCGCTTTTATATCCGCTGCTTCAATGTGGATCAGCTCCGCCCCGTTTCCACCTCAGTTCACACAGCCGCTGTGTTACAGAGTGTGAATTACCGATGAAGAGAACAGAGTAAATTCTTTTGTGTCTTTTGTTTATGCGACTTTGCGCGTCATCTAAAACACAATTTATTTTTTTAGTTGACTGTCTGTTTGAACTTGTCACGCAGTTTCCGAAAGTGTCGTATTCACTCCACTTTGGGGCTACCCCCTCCACCCACAATAAACAGTAAGGTTCTCTGCGCAGTTATAAACCAGTTCAACCTCCCTTTGCGATGAATCCGTTTTGGTGTCACCCACTGTCGTGTTGCCCACAGCGCTTTCCTCTCTTTTGTGTTTGTGCTTATTGCTCAAAATACGTCATCATGGTGCAAATTCAGAGCCATTCAGCCCGCCAATCTCGCTTGGCACCTTTTCGTCTAATACAACTACAACCAACACCATGTTGCCATTTCCGATTCCTCTTAACACGGAGCGGCATAACCCAGCTCATAAATCAGCTCTGTGTCAACATGCTTCTAAGCGCTATAAACCCCAATTCCCAGTATGACGTTCGAAAGTAAATACATTTGAACGCAGTTAGCGGTTATTTCGCTTTAATAGCTTTCATTTCTTAGCTTAGTCGAGGTTGTATTAACATAACTATCTCCGGTAACTCGCGTCGATTGTCCCGTACGTATCAATGCTTTCAAAGGGAAGTATTGGATTGTCTACTCGCAGATCGATGATGTGTAAATTTCGATGGTTCAAATAAGCAGCTCGGACGTTCATTTCTTTGTTTAGGTGGCGTATCGTTTAAATTCGTACAGTGATAAAAGAGGGATTAGCAAAGGGCTTTTGCCCCCCAGAAAGGTGACTCACTTCTCTGTAAGCTACCGAGAAGCTGCTAAATTCCGGATATTGTTCAACGTATTAAAAGCCCTCTCCAACGATGAATTATCCAAATAGACAACATTTTTAGTACGGAGGTATTGTGAATACCCCTATAAATTGTAAAACAACTCAGTGCGAGCTTTGTTAGCTCTACTCACAATAAACAAAGTGTTAATAGACCGTTTTGAACTTGAACCTATCTCAAGTGACATTTTCAATTCAATCCTCCATTCTTGCTCGATCCAGCACATTAAATTTGTTCACAGACCTTTTGACGCCTTGGATTTTGTTTTTGGAGTGCTTTAAGACAATTTTCAAGTCATTCATTGGCCTAATATCTTTATGGATGGGTATGTTATTTTGCCATCTTAAAAGCCTATGACATACTTTTGACAGCTAGCTCACTTTACTACACGTGAAGACCACGATGAGATATTGCTCAGGAAAACGCTTGAACAAGTTTCCCATAACGAATTCAGTGTCTCGACCTATTTTTAACGATGAGTGTAAACGCTTCTTTGTTCCTTAATTAGAAAATTCGATGCGTTGTTTTATTGCTTTGTTTTATAATTTCACCGAAAACAATACGGGAACATTTCCGGAACTCGGCGAACTTGGCCCAAACAATAATTATACTTGATTTTTGTATCATTTCTGTTATTCAAACTACCCACGACGTCTTAATTCTTTCCGTATGTTCGACCAAACTCCAAACTTGAACCGGAAAAAGCGACTCCGAGAATGTATAGTGAAAAATATTTTTGATCAAAGTTGTCCTCTGCACGTTGTTGGAGGAAGCACGCCTGGCTTATTGTAATCCCATTATACTAAGGACTTTTATTGAGGTCTTCTAATTGAATCGATATCTTCGCCAATGTTTTTAGCAAGACTTTAAAAAAATCATGTCGGTTTTTTATCTATAATTACAAGACGATTAAACCATTTCAAATGCATGTTTACGTATTTAAGGTGTTATCTTTAGTTTTGTTTTGACTGATTTTGTCCCAGAATAATTTTGGAAAAAAAACCGGCGTCTCGAACTAACGGGAATACTTGCTCCTTTTTTTTTTAGATATACTGATTATTCGGATCAGGAAAAAAATATTCCTTTTTAGGTTTGCCTAACGCGAAAAATTAAAATAGCCTGATAAGTAACGAAGAAAAATTTCTGCAGTCATTCTGATGCGAAGAAAATAAAAAAAGTTTCCTAACTTAGCTTGTCAACTTACAGTTGTACTCACAAATATAAACTTTCGTTCCCTTAGTGGGAATAAAACATATAATTTTGTTATCAGATATGAGGCAAAATCTCTCTTTGAGAGAACATAATACACAAATAAAGGACAAAATGACTTAAATTTAGAACTGTCGGCCGACTGTGCGCGGAAGGGCGACTCAGCATGAGAAGGCGACCGGCCGGAATGGACGCCTCCCGCCATACTTCGTCGCGCCGTCAAACCACCTGCGGTTTTTTTAAGTAGGCGGTTTAAGGGAGGACATGGGGACAAGTTTAAACATCGTTTAAACTCATTTAGCTCTCAAGTATAATTTCTTAAATGAGGTAGAAGTAAGTGTAAAATTTAGAGCGCAAACTTTTAGCGTATAAATCTAACACATTGGGAAATTGTAAAGGAGATTTCGAGTCCTTCGATCGAAGAGAGTCAAAACTGTGATCTTAAGATGTTGAGTACTTCAATTACTATCATTATACTGTGGAATGTTTTATTTGCGATGGAACTTCGGTTCAATGGCGCTTCTCTTGCGATTCACCAACAGGGCCCAACGGCTCTTCAAATTAGCAAAACGGAGGGTACCTGATTCTACACCTTTCGGAGCTTAAAAAATCATTGTTTTTATTTTACATTTTCTCATTCAAAACCAGCCCTATTCATCTCTGTATCCACTTCAGGGTTTGTATTTTAGGCGGCCGCAAGGTAGGATCATTTAAAAAAATATCATATAGCTATTCTACTTTTCCTATGTTTAGCTTATTTAAGATATGTTGACAGATTACTGTTGGTGCATATAATTACGTAACCAAGTTACAAATGTTTTCCGGCCTTTGCGGTTTACCACGACTTTACTTCGAGAACATTGAATAAAAATAATCCAGTGGTTCTCAATTACTCTACATATATTTAAAGGCCTTTTTCAATCTTTTATTATGTCTATTTCCTCATAGAGAATTAGCTGGCAGCGCCAAGTACCTCGATTTGAGAGTGGAGACATTTTTGGTAAGAGAACAAAACACATTTGGGATTGGCTTACAAGCAAAGAAGAAAACACTCAAACCAGAAATTAGTATCCAACTTTCCTTCCGGTATGACGACAAGATCTTGAGAACCATTTCGTTTTACCCTGGATGTCGCCAGCCGATACATCTCTGTCTGCAAACAATAACAATTGCAAATCGCTTCAGGGGTATCATGTCTGAGAAAGGTCTCGAATTTGCAAGATTTTGCCGCTCTAAACGTTTCCTCCAAACAGGAAAAAATTGTCACGTACGGCTAAAAAAATACAGCGCAACCTTGATTGTACGAAAGAATTGCACAATTATTTTGATATCAGCAGCTTTTAGAATATCGATTTCTTACTTTGAAAAACACGCTAGAGCAAATAACAGCTATTTCCTTTACGCGCAAGCCGAAGTAACCACAAAGCCTAAAACATTTACTGAGATTTAGACCAGTCTTAAGACTTGATTATTGATCTAACGGCAACCTAGCATGGTAAAAATATTAAGAATGTTTCTATTTCTCGGTATTGTTCACTGTATTTTTCTACAATTTAGTTTTTGGGCGTGTCAAAAGAAAGCATGGCTTCAGCCACTTCCGCTGCTGCTTATACGCAAGATTCGCAATGAAAATACTAAATAGTTACCAAATGGAAAAGTGCTTTCCTTTTCAGTTTTTTTTCAAAGCATAAGTACATAAACTTTTCAGTTCGTTTAAGTACACTAAACCATGAAAACGATTTTTTTTCTACCTCTCAAATGTAGCATTTTCGCTTCACTGCTTTGCAAATTGTTTGTAATTTAGTCGTATCTAAAGACAATTAGAAATAGATTAAGTTTCTTGACATCGACCTTGTTAATTATATCGGAATGATTATACCTCTTAAGAGGCTTGTCTTTTATATTGCTTTGATCAGAAATCAGTTACAAAAGAGATACCTTAAGCGAAAGACACCTGTTTACCGCTGAGTTGGCGCCTACAACTGATCCGGGAGATTGAGAACTGACGTTGACTTGCTCATACATTCCTATGAGTTGGAAAACACTTCCGGAAGACAAAGAGAATGTAGAGAGGGCGTCCGAAATCCGCTTTTCCAATGAGCCCCGAAATAAATAATTTTTATTTGGATGAAATATTTACAGTGGCTTGCTTGTATACACATTACTAGCTGCGGTCTTTTCTTCCTTTTTTTGTGACCTACCAAATATTAACTCGCTACCTGGAAATATATTTTCATTGAACACGGAATTCCTTATATGATCATTAAAAACGTTATCAATAATATTCCCAGAAGAATAAACCTGTTAAGGTGGAAGTATTTGAATAGTTGAAATGATAAAAATAAAATAAAATACACCACTAGAAATATTTTTCAAGGTGTCTACTGAAAGCTCAAAAAATAAAAATACACTAAAGACAAGTCCCGTTAAAACTTTATTAAAACTTTTGTCTTTCACTTTTACAGATATGAGCCACCACGAATACCTCTCAAATAGAGCAATTTTCGAGTGTCTATATATCAGGTGTAAAACTAAAACGTAAGACTTGGCTTTTCGACTTTCCGGCACCTGAGCAAGTTTTCTTGCTTTTATTTTCAGTTTCATTGGGTACTTTAATATTTCATTTTATTTTGATTGGCCAGATTGGCAGTCATTTCTTGTAGAACAAGACAGTTTTTACAAGTTAGACCAAGAGGAAATTTTAGGAAATCAGACAACAAGATGACTCATCTACGGACACGATTAACTTGACAAAGACTAGGTGAGGTGTTTTACATAGGTAAGCCAAATTGTCACAACGCTAGTTCATACAATTTGCGTGATATGGTGCGAATTCCTTCAAGCCTATCGAAATTCTTTTCAAATAACACAACACAATGTTTTGATCCTGGGATTAACCCGCAGTTAAACTGTGCGTCTCTTAATTAAAAGACGGGAAGCACTTTGTCAAGTGTTGGAACCTTCAAACACTAAAGCAGCTGGTAAATATCGCTAAAGGACTGACTTTAATGGTTACCAGGTTACAAAACATCAAAATAAACGGTTGTATTTAACTCACTGTCTTTCATTCCGTTTTTGGTAAGATTCCCACGAACTCTTTCCTGGCATTTTTCTAAGTGGAGCTTTATTTAGCAAAATCTCAATACTAAATAGTTACTTCACAGTGAATAGAGAGAGTTAAGTGTATTGTACAAGATCTGCT